AGAAAAGGGAAATACAATATTTCTTAATAGTTTGTAGCGTCCTCAACCAGAAAACATACACAAGTCCACGAAATTATTTCCAATTTACACTTGCTCTCAACATGTTAGAGCAACAAAATATTTTTCTTTGTTTCATATTCAGGTATTTCTTATATTATATAATACCTGTAATACGGCCAGCATCTTCCATTTTATTTCTTTGCTTCAGACTAAATTAAATAACATTTCTCTTGAGATGGTCACATCAGTTTTGGATTTAAAATTTTCCCTGACTTATAGCAGGGAAATACAGTTTGGTGTAATGCAGCAGAATCTGTAATGCAGAGTAGAAAGTCTATTCTTGCCAAAGGGGATTTTGAAGGGCCTTGTATATCTGAGTGCAGTGGGATGTGGGGAACAGACCAATGCCACTTCTATATAAGCTAAAAGGCTCAGTGAAAATATCCCTCAACTCTTACCTGTAAGTTGACTCTATAGCAAGTTTTATATTGTGCACACAGAAGGACATATCTAAGTGCCTGTAACTCTGGAGTCAGTTACACATGGTGATAATAATAAAGAACTAAGGAAAAAGATTAAAGTCTTTGTTGAAAAACACTTTTATGAGTTTTTTTTCTAAATGTGTGCCTTCAGTATTGGAGACAGACTGTCTTACTTGCTCAAAGGAGTGACATTGAAGGCTGCAACAGTGACCTTGACTTGAAGAGTCCCCCTAAGGGTGACAGGTGATGGAACGAGAGAACAGACCATTCTCCAAAGCCACTTGCTTTAGACTGTGGTCTTCCTTTTAAAATTTGTCCCAAAAATGACAGTGAGTTATAATTCCAATTCCAATTGTGTTGAATTTTGTGCTATGTTCACTAAAATTTGGACTGAAATCATCTAACTGCTGTCACCAAGATCCCAAAGATCTCAAAGTGCTATTGCAGATTGAGAAAAAAAAAAACAACCAAAACCAAAACCAAACAAACAACTAAACAGACTCTTTAACTTATTCCATCCAACATATTAAAATGGGTAAGACTCATTTTTCTCACTAATACAGAGATTACTCAAAAATATTACTTTCCTCTCTCTTTCCTTGTTTGGATCAAACCCAATCTTGCTGAAACAATTGCATTGAGTCTAGAAAGCAGCACTATAAATTTAGCATTCACTATGTTGTGCCTATCCCTACCACACTACTACTGAGCGACGTAACACATCTTTCAGTGCCTTGATACTTTGTAGTACAGATGGTACGTGTACCATGCAGGGCTGACAGCCCTTCCATGAAACAGTGTGGGATTGCATTAATACATTATTCCTAGGTTTTAATAGAAGTACTCAAACAAGATGGATCTACTCAATATTTCCAAATTATGTGTATAGGTTCACTTTACATATGCTGTTCAGACTGTAGTTTGGGAATAAATGTACATACCAAATAGTACCATTCCAAACACAAATGATCTGCATGACCAAATTAAACAAACATATTGTCCCATTTCTACTTATTTATATTTTGCAAACTTAAACATATCCTGACTCTCATTTCTAGACTATCAAAATTCCAGGTATTTCTTATCTCAAATGTTGCGTGACACCTGGCAAACAAAATTATTTCTCAAGTTGGCCTCAGTTCAAGTAGAAAGGCACCTGCAAGTGGATCATGGATATTTGTGTACTCAGAAAAATGGTATAGCCTATTTTAATTAGCTCCAGTCATTAAAACCTGCACTGTTCAAGTGTGAACGCAGCAAATCTTGTAAAGAAATCTGCAGAGTGCTCTGTGCTCCCATCCCTCTGTTCTTCAGATCCCATCATTAACCTAAGTATGATTTGTGCAACTTCCACCCTGTCCTTCAGTTTGTAGACACAGAGAGGCTTAGGAGTCTTCCCTCCCAGATTCCTCTCCAGCATTCCCATGTCTTCACAAAATTAAAAAGTGCAAATTAATCACCATGTTGGAATACCTAGGAGGTTTCTAAAGACAATAGTTTACCATACATTGTGTATTTATTATTTTTTCACTTCCACTCATAATTGAAGGAGCTACAACTTGCCAATGCTATAGGAACAGGTGAAACAGTTCATTCAGGATAGTTTTTTTGTGACTTACCCCCCAGTTCTTCATCTAATATAGAGGAGATGAAAAAAGTATTTAAATAAATGCATTTAAATGCTATTTAAATGCATTGTATGTACACCTTTTGGAAAGCTTCATAAAAGAGTTTGGCAAAATAAACACCTGAAGAAAAGTACAAAGATCAGTGTTTACAGAGCCATAGTGCTGTCTACTCTCTTATATGCATCTGAATCACGGGTCATCTACCGCCACCACCTGCGTCTCCTAGAACGCTTCCATCAACGCTGTCTCCGTACAATCCTAAACATCCACTGGTCAGAATATGTGACCAATACACCTGTTCTAGAACAAGCAGCAGTCACAAGCATTGAGGCCATGTTGCTGAGAACACAGCTGCACTGGGCAGGGCACGTCTCCAGGATGAAGGACCACTGCCTCCCTAAGATCTTGCTTTATGGTGAACTTGCCGCCGGTTGCTGCAAGAGAGGAGCCCCGAAGAAAAGATACAAGGACTCCCTGAAACAACATCTCAGCCTTGGCCATATTGATCACCATAACTGGTCTACTCTGGCCTCCAATCGGGAGGCCTGGAGACACACCATCTATAACGCTGTGGATGCTTTTGAGAAAGCACGCAGGATCACCCTTGAGGAGAAAAGACAATGCAGAAAGAATTGTGCCTTGCAGAATACACCATCTAAGGAGTCTTTCTGCTCTGCCTTTTGCAATCGGACATGCCTATCTCGTATTGGCCTTTTTAGCCACCAACGCGCTTGCAACAAACGTGGGTAGAGCCCTTCCCAAATCTTCGTTCGCGAAGCCTGGCCATGAATGTACACCTTTGATTTGTTCTCCTCATATCACCCTGTCAATGGACCAAACTTTCCCTGAAGTATTTCAAGCAACATGATGATCACCCACATGGAATGTCACCCAATATGGAAGTGAATCTCTAAGCCAGTAACAGTTCAGTTTTCATTGCATTGCATTTGCTGGGCATAGATCCTGCACATCTCTCACATTTTCCTTGGTCAGATATTTTTTGTTTTATTTGTTTTATTTTGACAACAGGGACAAAAAGTATGTACGATTGTAAAAGCTATGAGGGATGTGGTTTACAGCTTGTACCTATGGAAAATACAGTAAAAAGCTATAACCGTGCTTTTGTTTATTTTGGTCAAGTGGTTTGTGACCAGCAATACCTCTGATCAGAATTTGTGCAGCGTGTAATTGTAATCATAAAAGCTCTATATTACTGGAATTCACACCTTGGAGGGTATAGAACAGGGTTGTAGGGGAGAAAACAGACTGATTGATTTGGAAGTTTTCCAGAAGTTTAAACGTTCATTTTCAGAGTGGGTGGGAGGTTGTGTAGCCATGTTACATATGAACTTTGAAGGTGTGGAGGGGCTGTACTGCCCCACAGCCTCAGCAGGGCCTTGTGCTCTGTACAGAATGGCAGTAAGTGGAGCACACGGCAGCCAGGCTGAGAGCTGCTGACTGACAGCAGCATTTATTAAAATGTCATCTCCTAATTTTCACGCCGGATTTCTGTTGTCGTGTAGACTGCCCCAATATCTCACGCCAGAGGGAAAGGCCAGAGAATAACCCAACCCGCCCTGAGGAACGGGAGGCACACAGTCTGAGGGGAGGGAGAAAAAAGCATATCCAACCCTACCCAGCTGTAGCAAAATAAAAAATAAATAAATAAATAAATAAATAAAAGGAGGCGGGGGAGGAGGATGCCCTCCTTGTGCTCCTTGTGGCACGGCTCTTTCCACGAACCTCCCCCGCCTGTCGGACCCCACCCGCCAATAACGGGACGACTTCAGTCGCTGTCGCCTCGCAAACTCCGCTCGCAGCCTGGACAGCGTCTCTCCCGCGCCGGGCATCCTCTTTGGGCACCGCTCCGGGAACCCCTCCGGCTTCCCCTTCCCTCCCGTGCAGAGGGCGGCCGGCGGCGGCCGGGCTAATGGATGCAGCCGCGATCGGGCACAGCCTTATCTCTGCCAGGGAACAAACGCGGCGTTAATTGCAGCCGCTCTGAGGAAATTGCTATTGTTTCCAGTCAAAGGCGGGCGGCAGTTTGAGCGGGTTTATCCCGGGAGCCCTGTATCAGTTAATCTGCATCGCGGGGCCGAGCCGGCAGCTCCTGGGGCTGCGGCGAGTGGGGGGGTTGTGCTTTGGAAGAAAAAATAAGAGGAGAGAGATCAAGTGCCGGCTTCCCGCCCCGGCGTCCCCATTTCCCTCGCTCCCCGCCCGTGGGTTTTTCCTACGCCGAGGCGCAGCCCCAGCGCGCAGCCCCCTCCGTCCGCGGCGAGCAGCGTTTCTGGGGCGCGCTCGGGGCCGCGCAGCCGTGACGCGCGAAAACCACCGCGGGCCCGTCCGCCGGGGTCGGGGGCGCGCCGCGCACACGCGCGGATACGCGCGGAGCGGGGCGCAGGGGCGCGCACGCAGACACCCCCAGCGGGGGCCGCGCACATGCGCGCACTCACGCCCCGGCACACACGGGGGCGGGCGGGCGCTCGCACACGCGCGGGCGCGCACACGGGCGCGCACACCCAGAGCCACACGCAGCGGCACAGACGCGCTCTCGCTCCCGCCGTACTCCCTGCGCGCCCGGCAGCGTTCACACCGCTCCCCGACATCGGCAGCCAAGGACCCCCCCCGCCGCTGTCCGGCCATTAGTGCCTGAGGGGGGGAGGAGGAGGAGGGAGGAAGGAGGAATAAGTCTATTAGTAATAACAGCAACAACAACAACAACAAAACCCACCAACAAATCCGCACTAGCGCCTTAGTCCTTCTCTCAGACCGTCGACTGCCTGGCATCGCCGTGCATCGGGCTGCTGTGCTGGGACTTTGTTTCAAGTAAAAAAAAAAAAAAGGCAAACAAACAAACAAAACCCTTCGATTGCTCAGCCACTTCCATTTTTTCCCCTGCAGTCTCGCTGGTTTGAGGTGGTTGTTTTTTGTTGGTTTTTTTTTTCTTCCCCCTTCATGTGGTTGGATTTGGTGGATCCGGAGCCAAAGCTGCTTTTTTTCCTCAGTGGGGTGTGCGTGTGGCGTGCGGGGATTTTCTCGCTGCGTTTTTTATCTTCTGCTGCTTTTTTTAATCTTGGTTTTGAACCTGAGCCGGGAAAAATGGGAAACGGTGCTTCCGTCAGAAGGGGAATCTCTCCATCACTGTTGTTGGGACGTGTGCCTGTGGTGCTAGTGTTTTAGAGAAATAGCCTGACAGCTTTCGGAGTGGAAGGTAAGGGTGCCCGGGGCATTTCCATTTCCCATTTCCAGGGATTACGACTGGAAAGCTTTTAGCTTGGGATTCCGGGGAGGAGGCGGCGGAGGAGGGGGACAGGCTGTTGCTGAAGGATAGAGACAGCACATACGAAATGATCTCCGCATTTACTTCAGCGCTGCAGTTTAAAAGTTAGAGAAGTCCGTCTTGAGACAGGTCTGCTTCCCTGAGAGTAATTTCCAGCGAGACCGAGAAAACCTGAGGTTTGTGCACGATTGGGGTAATTTGGATTGGGGGGGGGAGGAATGTTAGGTTAATAGGAAGTTAAAATAGGAGAAGTCAGTGGGTCTTCTGTTGGGGGAAAAAAAATAAATGGAGTGATGGCGCCGTCTATGTTCGGCTAAACTACAGTGTCACCTAGAAAATCAGTTTGGGGAATATCCAAACTAAATGCCCCTTTCTTTTCAGCAGAAGAGGATTCTCCCCCTACCCAGATGGGTAGCCTTAAACCTCTGTGGCCGTTTTTTAACCCCCTCTTCCATGGACAAGAATGATCTTTTTAATCTGAGTGTCTAATCCTTTCAGTGATCAGATTCACTCAACATCTAGCAATTCTGCAAACTAACTGAAATGCTGCCGGCACACTCAGTTTGTGTGTCTCTGTACATGTGTGTGTGTAATGCACACAGAGAGAGAGAGATTAAGACACTGTTGTGTTTAAGTAGCATTGTATGAACAAATGCACAACTAAAATGAGGGCTATTTGATCACATTTCTTCATAGGAAACAGCCTAGCACTGCAGACGTCTTTATTTTTCTAGTGCAGATATTACACAGGATGGGAAAAGTCAGAGGCTTTTTTCCTTTTCAAACGGAAAAGTAAATAAGCTCACTTTCTGCTTTCCAGATTATAAAATTAATCCTTTTCCATGGGTGGAATTCTTAATTTAGACACTTATTGTCACATTGGCTTTCAACGCCTACACCATCCTGAATAACACTGCGCAGAACTGCATTGCCTGCAAAGTGCTTCAGCAAAGGGGAAATTGTTTCCAGAATTCCAATAAGTTTCTCTTTCTTAAAACCTTAAATGCTGTACCAGCCCTATTTGGAGAAGGAGGACCATGTTATTCATTGAGATGGATGCTCAGAAAGGAGAAAATCTGATCGTGTGGATAGACCCAGCAGCAGCTCAGCTTTTTTTTTTTTTTAAACCTCTGCTATAAAGAGGGTTAGAGTTGGTGGTGCTTTTTGCCCATTTCAGGATTCAGAGTTTGCATTATAATCTAGGAGATACGAAAATCTCTTCAAGGGAGTTTAATCCGGTGACTTGCTGTGTGTTACGCAATGGGAAACAGAAGATGCCTTGCTGTTTGGTGAGGAGATGAAAAGCTAGGCAAAGACACACATCAAAACTCAGTAACAGCGCCTGTGTGTACGTCTGCCTCTGCTTACTGAGCAACAGTGGAAGAGACTGCAATTTAGAGAGTTTTGAAATTAGGTTAGTATCGCTGCTTTCTGCTTGCATTTAAGAGCAGAAAGCAAAAAGCTACTCATTTGTAAGAGATAAGCAACTTCTCAAAGGTTAATGCTGAAAATGGTCAATTTGATTTTTTTTTTATATCGTTACAGAGATAAATATAACTAAGGTTTGCTGTATCAACCTAGGCCACTGTTGCGAGAACAGAGCATGTGGAGGTTGTGAGGGTTGACAGGTGCAGTAAAACAGCTTTATTTGGAGATACTAGCAGAGAAAATGTAATATGTCTTTCATTGTTCAAGCCCACGGCTGCAAAACACAGGAACTAATCAGACAGTAGAAGATATTTGCAAAAAGAGGGCAAGTGCAGTCCAATAGATGCAGAGATCCTGCTGTAGCACTGCCAGCTATATAGAGCTGCTAGTTGTAGATACTAATACTGTAAACTATTTTATATATCCTTAGAGGTTGAAGCCATTGAAACTATTATCTTAAAAAGCTGGCATTTAGTGGTAGTGTCAGACCAACAATACTTTAATCTGTTTTTGTTTGTTTCTTTGGCAGTGTCAAAATTTTATTAATATATTAATCTCAGTATTTGCTGTCTAAATATCCTTTTTATAGAGACCTCTATATACCAGGTGGCTGGGGTGAAGGCATGTAGGCATATGGGAGATAATGTTCCATCTGTAACAAATAGTAATTTGTGCATTTTTAAATTATGGCTGTAATTCTTCAGTTACCTCTCAGACTTAATAGAAAAATAATGTATAACAACATATGCTACCGGCTTTATTGTTCTATTCCGGTGAAAATCTGCATATGCATATATGAGTATAGCAGATTACTTATTTACTTTTTTGAAGAAATAAATAAATAAATTTCCCTTCTCTTGGTCTGTCAGGTAAGGCATCTAGGCTTTTACTTAAGTTGAGCAGTTCTAGTCCACGCCAGGATGACTACATCCTAGAGAGGAGAGGACATTCCTATTAATAATCTAATAGATGTTGAGTTTTAATTTGCCTGTGGAAGACGTGTCTGTCGCGGTGGCCACATGATGGCGCTGTGAACACAGCGGCAACCCCGGCCCTTGCGTTATAAAATAAAAATTACCTGCCCTTCTTTCTGAAAGGGGTTCTAACTGCAAGCTTGAAAACAGCTGGCTCGAATATTGGAAGGAGTTTGGTTTTCTATGCGTGAAGAATTCTACTTGCATTTTTATTTCATTTCATCTCCTGCAGGCCAAATGACATAGGATGAAGGCTGTTCGTAATTTGCTGATTTATATATTTTCCACCTATCTACTGGTTATGTTTGGATTTAATGCTGCCCAAGACTTCTGGTGTTCCACGTTGGTGAAGGGGGTCATTTATGGATCGTATTCTGTAAGTGAAATGTTTCCTAAAAACTTCACAAACTGCACTTGGACGCTGGAAAATCCAGATCCAACCAAATATAGTATTTACCTGAAATTTTCCAAAAAGGACTTCAGCTGCTCCAACTTTTCCCTCTTGGCTTATCAGTTCGATCATTTTTCCCATGAAAAAATAAAGGATCTTTTAAAGAATAACCATTCTATAATGCAGCTCTGCAATTCCAAGAATGCTTTTGTATTTCTGCAGTACGATAAGAATTTTATTCAGATACGTCGCGTCTATCCTATCAACTTCCCAGGATTACACAAAAAAGAAGAAGAACAAAAATCCTTCTTTGAATTTTTGGTGTTGAACAAGGTGAGCCCAAGCCAGTTTGGGTGCCATGTGTTATGCACTTGGTTGGAGAGCTGCTTGAAATCCGAGAACGGGAGAACTGAGTCCTGTGGGATCATGTATACAAAATGCACCTGCCCTCAGCATTTGGGAGAATGGGGAATAGACGACCAGTCCCTGGTGTTGCTCAATAACGTGGTGCTGCCCCTCAATGAGCAGACGGAAGGCTGCCTGACCCAGGAGCTCCAAACCACCCAGGTCTGCAATCTCACCAGAGAAGCCAAAAGGCCGCCAAAAGAAGGTAGGTGCTTCTTGGAGGGGGGCTGAATTCCACGCCAGTGTGTAAGTCCTGCTGCTGGCTCTCCTTAATACTCACATTCATTTGAGCTGCTCTCCACTCTGGCTCTCCTCTAGACGAGGCAAAAGAGCTGGAGAAGATGCACACTCCCTCAAGGCAGGGAAGGCTGCATTTTCATTTCTAAACTGGTCTGGGCTTCAGCATATAGTTCTGCTGAGCACTGTTGAAACTCCTCACAAGTAAGATCCATCTGTTTTAAGGCCTCACTTACAATAATTCCCACAGGTTGTGAGCCAGGAATCACTCTCCCCCTCACCACCTCTTTACTGCAACCACCCAAATACAAAACCTTGGCCCTCTTGATATGATCCCTTGACTTTGCAAGGAAAACATTTCCAAAGGCATGCAGGCAACCTGACAAAAGACCAAGAGATTTCCATGTTCAGGTCACCTGGTCCTAACTGGGCCAGAACTCAACCACCTAAAACAAAACCCAAAGCAAATGCAATTCCTCAGGGTGAACCCTCTGCCTGAGATACTTGGCAATGTGAGACACTGTGCAGGCAGGACATGCTGGTTTAACCTGCTGGGAGCTCTGCGAAGGGGCCGGGGGCTGCTGCTGCACCTGTTCTCCAGGCAGCTTCGGCTCCCGGAGATGAAGGCTCAGAATCTCATTGCAGTATTAGCGAGGAGGGGGAGGGGGGGCTGATGTGTCATTCCCAGCAGCTGCTTCATGTCCCTGCTGGAAAAAGGGGGTGGCTGTGGAACGGTGTGAAGACAGGGGTCCAGCAATTAGCGTGGCAGCCCTCTGCTTAGTCCCTCTGCTACATACTTCTTGTGTTAGCCTGACATTTTGGGGACGTCGGGGTGGGGAGGGTGATTTTGGGAAGGACGTTAGGGGCTTGCGAGGCAGGGAAGGCATGGGTTGAACCTAGATGGGGGGCTCTGGCTGCAACCTATGGGCGAGGGGGGCCTTCAGAGCTGCCGTGAGGGAGTGGGGGACGGGGGGATAAATTATCGAGCGTTGGATATTGCATTTTAATGCAGGAAATGTTCCCTCTCTCCTTGTTTTTTGCATAGCCACAAAGCTCTCAGTCTGTGGCGAGGCAGTGCCAAGCTCCCAGCCCCCCTAATAGAAGTTGCTTTGTGGAGGAATGTAACATTGACACGTTGTTAGGAGAGAATTTTCTTTAAGGGCAGCCAAGCCCCAGTGCTGTGGGAGAAGAAAAGCTGAACTTGCTCCAGCTGCCGCGGAGCCAGCGTCCAAGGGCAGGGCAGGGGGAGGGGTGGGGGACACTTTTCGGTGTCCTGCGGCTCCGCGCCTCTCCCGCCACCCAGCATCCTGGGAACAGAACGATCCTAACGGACAGGGGAGGCTCGGCTGCCGTAAAAACCTCCCAGAGAAGCGGCGGCAGGGATGGTATTTGAGATAGTTTAGAGCTAATTATTGCCCAGGGAGGCGGAGGCAGCCCCGGCCGCAGCAGGCGGAGCCGGGCAGGAGCCCCGGGCGCTGCGCGGGGGCGCCGCCGCCTCCCCCGCCTGGCGTTGGGCTCGCAGCGCCCGAGACGGCCTCGGGTGAAGCACCGCCTGCGCTCCCTCAGCCTCCACCGTGTGAGAGATGGGAGTCACGGGGGAGCTACGGAGCCCTCTAGAAAATAGAAACGCCGCAGAGCGGAACGCGCGCAGGAACCGCAGCCGCGGTGCGGGGGTCGCCCCGCGTTCTCAGCCTCGCCAGGGTCCAGCGGGACCCCGCGGAGGGGCGAGCGGAGCAGTCGTCGTGGCCCCGGCGCCGCGGGAGGCAGTGTACCCGTGGGAGAAAGGCGCACTATCCCTTCCTCCTCCGCCCCTGCCTCTGATTGCCGTCCTAAGGCACCAGCTGCCTGGTGGGGCCGGGGACGAGGGAACGCGAGCACAGGGGGTGCACAGGCCACCGGGTGTCTTCACATCTTTCCCCAAAACATGCTAAAATCCAAGGGGATGCGTGTCTCCAAGTTAAAGCATCTATTTCAGAAAGGTACTTATTGGAAAGGACAGAGGAAACTGAGGGCAAACACTTGTTTTGGTTTTTTTTCCCTTAAATTTTGTAACATGTTCCCAGCATATTTTGCTTCCAGTTTCAGGCGTATTTTAATTCTTGCCCCTACTTATGCGTTTTCCTCCATATGAGCTTCAGAAATGGCATTGTTAGAGGGGGTGGAAATTTCACTTGGTAGGTGGAAGGTTTGCTTTGCTTGCTTTTCACTGTATTTAGTCTTTTTTTGGGCGTTGCTGAGAATTTTAACATTATTAAAATTATTTCACACTTTTATTTTATTGCTTTAATGCACTTGGAAATCAGTCATCAGATTGTTACTCGAAGTTATAATGAGTTTGCAAATTAAGCCTCACAGTATTTCTCAGTAGCAGTATACTTTTTGTCTTCCACTCAGTTTTGAGCATTTTTTCCTGTTCCTCAGAAGGCTAAAAATGTGCAAGAGAGGTGTGTTGAGTCGTTGTTTTCTGTAGATATAGTCACTTTCATTAGGCACATCAGTCAGTGTATTTGTCTGTATAAAGCTAGTTTGTGGTTCAGTTGAAAGCTTTATTGAAGGATCAAAATGTAGAATGCTCTTGCCACAAACATGATGCAATTCATCACTTCTGTCAACAAACATTAAGGCAAGAAATACAAATTTTGTTTTCACAGACAATCTGCTTTAAGTTATATTGGCACAAGTAGCATAAATAAGGTAGACAATGAGTAAGAGAATGGTTGGTAGGGTTCTTAGTGACAACTGAAAGTACAGTTTTGCCAGTGTAAGTTGAGTTTTAAAGGGAATGGAGTTTGCCATTGGGAAGGTGCTCTGGATTTGATAAGACTCTGTTTTTATGAATTTGTGTATTACTTTTAGGTTTTGTACTGACGTTGCCTAGCAATGATTTTTGGAAACGAATTGCAGAGACCTGACAGCTTTCTGCAGTATTATGAAAACCCTTCCATCCTTCAGATTTGCTTTCATCAAGCTTGACTGTATGAAGTGCAAAATCTTTTCCCAAAACTATTTTCAGTCCCATTTTAGAATAGAGAGCATTTAGATTAAAGCCTGCTGTTTCTATTTTGAATCTCTGAAGTTTTTTACAATTTTGAATATGATAAATGGCTAAGGAAAATGGATGAAAGTCAGTATTTTTCCTTTTTAAGAAGTGTTGCATTTTACAAAAGATGTGACAAGTATACAATGGATGATTGTGTTTCTAAATGTGCTGAAGTGTTGAACAATAAAAGGAACTAGGTCAAAAAAAGAAGCTATCACTATTACTTTGTAATAAAATAGTTTGGAAATATGTGGTCTATTCAACATTTCTTCTGTAGACAGATTATCTTTTGTGTCATTGATTAGAGCAATATTAAAAATTGCTACATTTTCACTTCTTGTATCTAGATCTGTTTCTGTAGCCTTACATTTGAGATGCTTAGCCTAGATAAAAGCACTAGCAAATAGATGTCAGTACTCTCATGGGATCCTGAATTTAAGGGCTATGGGGAATTTGCCCTCTCGATTCTCAGTGCTGTGACTGAACTGTGTTATGAAGTTTCTGTCTATAAGACAAGACTCAGTTCCAAGTCTAGTGGACCTGTAAAACGTTTGCATGTAGTCGATCCACACAATTTTTTGAACAAGGACAAGAAAATCCAAAAATGTCTTTTTTTTACTGTGGCCATTGCCAAACTGTAATATGATTGTGGGGTTTTATAAAAGTTACCTAGACAGAAACTATAGACAGTTTTTCCCCATATTTTACTGCCAAATCTGAGCAGGGCCTTCATAAAACAATTAAAAGAATTTTTTGTCCTCTTCCTTACATCCAACAGAAGAGAGGGGATACTCACATTCATTAAATCTCAGCATTTGGAGTTCCAGGCTTAATCTTGTATATCTCATTCAGACAGTCTAAAGTAGTTTTAATAGGGATTTTTTCTTATGCTAGAAATGTAGCATTGGTCTACTGTGTAGCAAATTCTAACATCTCACTGTGTACCAGCATCACAGTATTCAGCAGTGATTTATTTATTTTTTCCTGATTTCACAACTGGAAACAATGGGGAGATCTTAAAAGAAGATTACAATAATTTATGCCACGTTGTTGAAGAATAGTAAGATGTAGGATGTGGGTAGTTTTGTGGAGCTTTCATGACATGGATGCATTTATTTATATATTATTCCATGAATGCTCGCTTCCTGTTCCAAACATTTAGGATGAATTAATAATATTCACCACATATCCAGAGGTCACTAGCTAGGTGAGTAAGCTGGACATCCCTAGTCAGGAAGTCATAGTCAGTAATACCATGTCAAATCATGGGCCCATCAGAGGATTTAAACTGTTAAATCAGTGCAGGATTTGTCTAGTAGGAACAAAAATTACAAAATGGAGTCCAACAACCTAACACTTCTAGGAGGATATTTAATGTTTATTATGCTATGATTATTTGAGGCTGAAGCAAAACTTAGAAAATCCAAAATAAATAAAAACAGTTGTCCAGAATATTGAATGAGTACAGTAACATACTTGGAAGACTCTTAATAGTTTTTATATCCTGCCGCTTGCTGTGGCTCATTAATTCATGAGTTCAAGGGGACAAAGGAAGATGAACAGTAAGGGAAGAACACACTTTTTAATTTTGTGTGGAAGGTATTTTTCATTATAACTTCACGAAATATTGTTTAGAAACTTTAAAGTTATATTCTAAAATAACCTGTTACCATGCAGGTCATAAGCATCTTGTTATCACACTGTTACAAGCAGTAAAAATCTAGACTGTAAAGAAAAATAATTTCACTTTAAATAATTTTTCTTTTTACGTAAATATTGTCCCTCCTAAAATGCTCATGGCCAAAAACATCATAGAAACTTTCATAAAATCAGTTAAAGACATTCTGTTTGTCAGTCTGGTTCCCAGTGGAAGGAAATATTTTAAGATCTCCTATGGATTCCAGTGTGCTTTATAAAGTGCCCTTTTT